AACCGAATTCATTCTATCATTGACAAGTACAAGTTAGGTATAAAACACTCAAAGCTGAAGGGAAATCGAAGAACTCCTGATACATGATCCAACTCATCTTCCTACTGCAACTACCACTTTGATCACAGGTTGTTACTTCTAGACGGGCACAAAGGCCACATATAAAACCCCTGGGGTCACTATATGAACAAAATCTCATTTCTTTTTCTTTTTTAAAGATTGTATGTAAGCCCTGGCTGGCATAGCTCAGTGGATTGAGCACGGACTGCAAGCCAAAGTGTCACAGGTTCGATTCCCAGTCAGGCCACATGCCTGGGTTGCAGGCCACAGCCCCCAGCAACCGCACATTGATGTTTCTCTCTCTCCCTCTTTCTCCCTCCCTTCCCTCTCTAAAAATCAACAAATAAAATCTTAAAAAAAAAAAAAAAGAATTCTAAGGCCCACATGGCAACTTATTAAAAAAAAAAAGATTGTATGTATTTATTTCCAAACAGAGGAGGAGGGAAGGAGAAAGAAGGAGGTCTGGTTGCCTCTCAAATACCCCCTGCTAGGGACCCACCTGCAACCCAGGCATGTGCCCTGGCTGGGAACCGAATCTGCTACCATTTGGTTTGCAGGCTGGCACTCAATCCACTGAGCCACACCAGCCAGGGTGTCATTTCTGTTCATTTAGATTATGCCCAGTCACTTGGGCTATTTTTCTTTCTCTGGATGGTGGTATACAATAGATTTCCATTATTCTTCTTTGAAATTCTTAACTTTGTAAAAACTTTGTATTATCCTTCAGAATTGCTATGGTTTTAAGTAACCCTTATTTGTTGACTTTTCTTAAAATTTAAATATCCTTGATCATACCATCATCACTGGTTACTCTGTCCATAACTGATCCTTGTCTCCTTTACTGGTTTCTTTTTTCTTATTTCACTCATAAATATGGCCTTTACAGTCTTTTCTACAGAGATAGGTTGCACTCCTTTGTGTTTTTGGCCAACTATGATGTTCTTCAATTCACCCACCCTTCAAAACCTTGTCCGGTTGTAAGTTATCTGTGAACTTCCCCTGATACTTCACTTACTCCACTCTCCCTCCTTAGAAAAATGTTTATAAATTGGGAAGAAGAGGAAGGAATACTGGATTTTCTGCTTACCTTAAAAATCTAGGTGTAAAGTGAAATTAAATCTTTCCTCCCAAACCAGCTTCTTCTGTATTCCAGGTGCGTATTAATGGCAGCAGCATACTGCCAATACCCAGTCTAATACCTGAGCAATCATTTCCAGTAGATGTTAACAGGTGAAAAAAAGATGTAAGGCAGAAAAGAATGTTTCAGCCAGAAGGCTCCCTGTACAAAGAGCCCAAGGCATGAAAAGTTCTGTGCCTTCAATGATCTGAAAGGTAAGTGGAGTGAAGCACAGCTTATGAGGGGACATAGTTAGATGGGAAAAGGACTAAGACTATGGGGTACTCTGGGGACATTTAAGTGAAAATGTCTAGTAATTAGTTGAAATGGGGACAAAAGCACACCAGAGCAGCAGCACCTTGAAGTAAATATTATCTCTGTATACTTCATACATTTTCCAACTCTGTGCCTCCCCCTTTTCCGATAACTGACCTTAACCCTGCCTCCTGACACACATCAGGCAGAAAGATAAGCACATTGCCAGATAAACCAATCCCAGCACTAACTACATCCTTGGCTACTCCAACTATTTCAACAACCAGAAAGTGATGCAGACTGAGCATTCTGTATTCTACAAAAACACTATTTCTTCCTTGATCATACACATAAGACTAGCAAGAATTCAAGAAATGACACACACACACACACTCAGGAAGACACACATGCAAGAATTCAGGAAGAAGTGTTATACACACAAGACAAGCAAGAATTCAGGAAGAAGTGACAAGCAGTGGAAGACTTAAAGTATCAAGCCACTATCCTTCCCAATGTGGATGAAAAAGGGGGTTCCATGAAAAGTAACCTCACAGGGTGATCTGGTCATAAATCCCTATATGGGCAGGTCACAGTCACACCCCAGGCTTACAACTTCTTAGTAAAAGGCATGTCTTTGCCTTAAGCAAGCCCTGTCCATTGACCCTGTGCATCTAGGCTTGAAATGCCTCCTTTCACAACCCTCCTTCTAAAGGGTGACCACCCTCATGAGAACACAAAACCTCATTAAATATCCTATAATACAATCCCTGCCTTGTTCCTGCATTCACGTAATCCTCCTTAATTTCAAATGGGTTAAAGCAACTGTAGAATTTATTCTCTGAAGAATGAGATGTTACTCCCCAACTCAAATAAACTCTTATAATAATTCTCTACAGCTTTGCCCTGGCTGGTGTGGCTCATCAGACTGAGTACCAGCCTGCAAACCTAAAGGTCTTTGGTACAATTCCCAGTAGGGGCACATGCCTGGGTTTTGAGCCAAGACCCTGGTTGGTGGTGTGTGAGAGGCAACCAACCAAGGTTATCTCTCACACATTGATATTTCTCTCCTTCTCTTTCTCCCTCTTTCCACTCTCTCTAAAAATAAATAAATAAAATCTTTAAAAATAAGTTCTCTATGGGTTTGGATGTTTCTTACACACAAGCTTTATGAGGAGGTTAAAAAAAATTTCCCCATGAAAACAGTATGTCCGTTCCTCAAAAAACTAAAGACAGAATTACCATATGAGCCAATAATTACACTTATGGGTATATACTCAAAAAGAATTGAAAGCAGTCACTAAAAGAGACAGCTGCACACCCGTGTTAACAACAGCATCCTTCACAGAGCCAAAACATGGACACAAACCGAGTGACCACTGAGAGACAAATGGATAAACAGAATGTGCTATACACATACAAAGGAATTTTATACAGCCTTCCAAAGAAAATCTCCACACATGCTACAACGTGAATGAACCTGAGGACATTATGCTAAGTGAAATGAGCCGGTCACATAGAGACAAATACTATATGGGACCACTTACGAGGTACCCTGGGTAGTCAAATTCACAGACATAAAGTAGAACTGTGGTTGTCAGGGGCTAGTGGGAATTGAATGTGGAGTTATTAACAGGTATAGAATTTCAGTTTTACAAGATGAAGAGTTCTAGAGATTGGTGGCATAATAATGTGAATGTACAGTAGGTCCTCAAATAATAAGTTTCATTCAATGTCATTTCATTATAGTGTTAATGAGATACTATAGGAAATTAACTCATTCATATCAATCAGCCTACAGTAAAATTGGTCTTGTTATACTTTGTCCCACCACAGTTCAAAGAACCAATCAACAATGTTAACTGAGGACTTACTAAAGACTACTAAACTGTACATTTAAAAATGATTAGGCTGATAAACTTTATGTGCATTTTATCACACTTAAAAATTTTTTAGATTACATTAAACCAATCACTTGCAACTGAAAAAAGGGATATTGAATATAAAAATGAGTACCTAAGTTTAGTACTAGAACTTGATATTAAAACTGGCCAAGTCTGTAAGCCTAGGGGGTCCTAGGAATTTCCCCTCATAAATTAGAGACTCGGCAGTTCTTGTTGTAGTATAGTAAACCAAGTGGATAACCCGATGTGTTTTGAGACTCAAACTATATGCACACTTTTAGGGAATGTGACAGAAAAATGTCAGGATATTAAACTGCTTTGGCTAGGTTTCTTCCTGTAGAAAAAACAAGCTTAGGAATGAATCAGATTGCTGGAAAAGAGGAACAAGTTTAGGAATGAATCAGATTGCTGGAAAAAAGGAACAGAACAGTGATCATGATACAAAAGGCCTTTGCCCCACTCTCTAATGAACTCCAAAAATAGTGATGTCTACTTAACAACCGACAAAATTAACACACTGATTAGAAATGGAGATATCGAGGAGGACCCAAGCCCCACCCTAGCCATGATAAACCATATCAAACGGGATGCAGCCCGGAGGCAAGGGGCCAACTGGAAGCACTTTATATTTTTGGGCAGAGTACCTAAGTTTAGTACTAGAGCTTGAAGTAACTTAAAGAAAAGGAGAGCCCCCAGGACCGTTGGAAGAAACAGAGAGCAATCCCCGGAGCAGACTTCAACTCAAACACTGTATTACAGGTAGTAATAAAGAAGGAAAAGGAACGATATGCTAGTAAACAATGAAATCTGAGTCACACAATGAAAATTAAAAATATAAGATTTCTAAAAGAAATATAATAGGAAAAGTTTATATATCACAAATAATCACCCCTACGAATGAATGTTTTATTCCCTGTAAAGAGGGCCCAACAAGTTGTCATTATTTGAATGAACCAGGTGACAGAGAATCCAAAATTTAAAAGAAACCAATTTGCAGAAACAATACTTAACCTTTCTCATCCTGGGGAGCAGCTTTTCAAGGAAAATACGACATTACATTTGAAAAGTCTAGAGGGGATAAACAAGGTCCAACTAGAAAATTAAAAAACAATTTAGTGTATTTATATTGGGAATTCAATGCAGACCACTGGTTAGCTGAGAAGCCAAAAAAGGGAACTGTGAGGCAACCTGCTGGATTAGCAACAGTAGGAAGTCATTACCACCCCTAGGCTAGGAGGACACAGTAGGAACTGCACTGGTGGCCGAGTTGCCCAGGGGAACCTAGAACCACAGAGGAAATGAGGGAATAATTTTCTTCCCTCTCTCCCATCCTCCCATTCAAATTCTCACCAGTGCCTCCGAACTCAGCCAGAAGATGACAGATATGGTAGCCAGGGAAACAGACAAAAGGCAACCCCTTCTCACTTGGACTTAAAAGTTTAAGGCTAGGTATATATGTTACAATTACTTGTATAGTACTCCATTAGTTCTAATGAAGTTTCTGTAGTGGGATTATGCTACTTTTTAAATTGAATATAAATTTACTTTGAAAACTAAAATGTTAGTGAAAGAGAAATGAATCTGACTCAGGAAAGGGTTCTGTGTTGAAATCAGGTCAACCTCAAGCAAACATTTAATTCATATGTCCCAAAAAGTTAAAGCCATACCATTTAAATCTGCATTTTCAAATCTGACCCAGACTATTTTCTCCTTTTCTTCTGTTAGAGGTGTTCCACTGTAAGCCTGTGTAGTAAACAGAAATGTTTGAATAAAAATATTTTACAGCTCTGATATTACTGATGTGCACAACAAAGGGTAACTTAAATAAAGCCTACCGATCCCTCTATAATTTCACTAATCCTACACCTTGGAAACTAGTACATTTTGTAATATTTTTATTCCCAAAGAAAGTTATCCAGGAGTTTGATTACTTTGGTCAAAAAAAAGGGGGTTTTAGCCTACTAAAGAACTGCAGAAACCTAAAATAGAATGATCTTAGTCTACTCGGAAGCATCACTATCATTCAAAGGTACTCAAAAAACTAAATCATCATCCATATTTGATGATGGTCAACAAATAAGAAGGCTTAAGAAAGAAACAAAACCACCACAGGTATCTATATAGTATCCATGTATTTATGATCAGGCAATTACACTCCACCCAGAATGGTCAAAAGTATTTCTTACAGCATAAGGAATATAGTCAATAATACTGTAATAATCGTGTATGGCACCAGGTGGGCACTAGAATTATCAGGGGGTGGGGAGCCACAGGGGTCACTTCATACATTATATAACTGTCTAACCACCAAGCTGAAACTAATAAATACTGGATGTCAACTGTAATTGAAAAATAATTTTAATGTACTTATTGATATTATAAATAAAATAGGATAACATTAGCATAATACCTCGTTTTCCTAAATCATAAAACAATTAAAAGCTTTATTTGTTTTTCTCTTCTAGGCTTAGAAATACAGCACAAAAATTCAAGAATAAAATAACTTGCTTGTGGCCACAAAAAAAGGGGGGAGTGCTACTTTCTGCTTGCCTCCAGTTCTCCATTGAAGGGCATGGGTCAGTGTTGGGGGTGGGAAAAAAAAGCATTCTTTTTTCAGTCTCTGACCTGGCTTCTAGATCCAACCTATTAGCTAGTTCCTACAAGCCTGCAAGGGTCACAAAGATACACATAAACTGCCCTGAAGTCATAGGAGAAGTGTCAAGAGTACCCATCAGTATTCAAAACAAGTGTTATTTTTAAATTTTTACAGATTGTATGTACTTACAAGCATTTAGAACGTCAAAAAAGTGGTTCCCAATTCAGAGAACTATTATTTAATATAAGCTATGTCAAAAGCATACAAAAACTACCATCCCATATATAATTTGTGTTATACGTGACCCGCTTTAAATTTCCACACCAATTATAACCCCTGTACTTATCAAAGTTAATGGCCATTGAAAATACTATTAAAGACAATTACTTCAATAGCAGATTTACCATACACACACACATAAACACACACACACACACACACACAAACCCTTATGATTTCAATTGTCTTAAAAAAAAAAAGAAGTGAGACATGTACAGGGCAGTCAATCCTTGAAAGAGAAAAACCCACACTGCCACCAACTTTATCCTCAACCATCTCATCATTATCATCATTGCCGTCAACTTTATCTCCCCATCCTTCTTCTTCTCCCTCAGTCTCACTCTTCTCATCCTTGAAAATGCTCTTTTTTAAAAATAAAACTTTTTATTTTGGAATAATTTTAGATTACTAAACATAGTACAGAAAGTTCTCATTTACACCTCAACCAGATTCCCCTAATTCCCTAATGTGAACTATGTAATCTAACCAAATCTCACCTTACCATTTGCCGAAACTATGAAACTAATTGATGCATTATTATTCATTTAGCCTGAGATTTTATTGGGTTTCACCAGGTCTCCCACTAATATCCTTTCTCTGGTCCAAGATCCAATCTAAGATACCACACTACATTTAGGACAACTTCTTTTTTCCTACCTCAGGCTCTTCTTCAGTCAAAACTTTTACTCCATTACTGACAGGATTTGTTTATTTCTCCTTTTATTCTTTATATGGTTTCTAACACATCTACACATTAATGAGTTATTGTTGAATTTTAAAAGACACAGCTAGGGTCCTGGCTGGTGTGGCTCAATGGATTGAGTGCCGGCTTTCGAATCAAAAGGTCGCCGGTTCACTTCCCAGTCAGGGCACATGCCTGGGTTCCAGGCCAGGTCCCCAGTGGGGGATGCATGAGAGGCAAACATCACACTTTGATGTTTCTCTCTCACTCTTTCTCTCTCCCTTTCCCTTTCTCAAAAAATAAATAAAATAAAATAAAAATAGACAGAGCTAGGATCACTGTAGATATGTTGTGTTGTTTTATTTTTTTCACTGCAATAAAAAACTTCCACTGTGTACTGCTGTCAAAAGTATAATAACAGCAAATTGCTCTATAGGCACAATATATCATAATTTTCTTGACTGCTTTTGACATTTGGGCCAACTACAATTTTTTATACTAAAAATAGTTAAATTTTCAAAAATGAAAAAGATCTGAGCTTTAACTCTTTCTTTGTTAAATTATTCTTAATGACTTTCCATAAGTACAACTATTAGACCAAAGGGCACAGTTAAGGGCTTCTATCAGCCACTGATGACATCTCTTAAACACAATGGGAATCTACTCTATTCAGCTGATGCCGGTCTGACACATTTACTCCCCTTGGGAAGTATTTATAGACCCCAAGAATGATTTCCAGGCTCCATGAATTTGATGATTCCCAGAATACAGCAGGAGATGGAATGTGATATCATCAGAAAAAATATTTTCCAAATGTGTGACCACAAAGTACCAGTGGGGGATTCTGGATTAAATGTAGAAAAAACTATGCTGTACACCTAAGACTCATAGACAATAATACTGAATGTAAACTATAATTAAAAATAAAATTGAAACTTAAAAAAAAACCATGAGTCACCAACTCTGGCCTACCTCCTGTGCCCATAAGTTTTATTTTAATATAGCCATGCCCTTTGCTTTATAAAGTAAGCAGTGCTGAGTAGTTTCTAGAGAGATTATGTGAACTGCAAAGCTCATCCTATCTAGTGTTTTACCGAAACAGTTTGCCAACTCTGCACTAGACAGGAAGTCTTAAGGATGGGCACAGAGTATCCCCTTAACTTAAAACAGTGCCAGGTCCATAACAGGTGCTCAAGTAAATGTCTGCTGCCTGAATTTCTGCTTTCTTTCCACGGTAACTAGAATAATGACTTGCACAACATAAATTTCTTAAATGTAATTCTAACTCTTAAAAACTCTAACTACTCCCTCAAAGCCCCTGCTCACACCCTTTCTCCTCCAGCAACCAGAACAGCTTGTTATGCAGGGTTTCCACTAGCATGAAAGGCACCTTTGTAAAAATTTGATAAAGAGGCACTCTAGGGGAGGGCAAACTACAAAATTTTTTAAATGCCCTTCCTAGGAACTAGCCTCATGCCAGGGCTCAGGGACGAGAAAGGAGCAGTTCATAGAAGACCTAAGTCTGGCGTTCTCTGCAGAATAGAAGATGCTCTCCAGCCACAACGACCCTGCTGCCCACTACACCCAGCTCTCTAGCTTCCTTCAACATCAAATACACAGCCTTTCCATCTATTTCCATTGACACTTCTTACAATGACCTTTGGGACTTAACTCTTTCACTCTTTCTTTTCTATGTATTCCCTTTGCACTTAAATATTCACTCTGTGCTACCATGTGTAACACTAACTGATCTGTTCCTATTGCCTCTGGTTGTTTCAAGAAATTTGACTTCCCTTACTAATCAAGTTCCTCAAGAAAGAAAAGCACGTGTTTCTCCTTGTATGCCCTGAAGATCTACAGACCTTGTCCTTGTGACCTATTTTCATTAAAATTGACTGAACATAATAAAGAAATACCAACATTCCTTGGTATATGATGAATACTATTTAATACAACTGAAATCTAGATTCTAGTGTTTTCTAGGACTCCCTCATAAAACTGGGACACCGGATCTATGAATGTTCTCTTTGAACAGTGCAGTTCTATACACATTAGCAGTCAGAGAAAACAGAAACCTTCTACTTCCACAGTTCCACTAAACAGTGCTTCCCAAAGCTACTGTTTCATAAGGACCATCTGAGATTCTTCCTCAAGACACACGTTACTAGATGCCACTTCAATTCCACTGAATCAAACTCTCTGGAAGAGGAGCCTGGAAATTATCGATTTTAACAAGTGTGCCAAGTGATACATATGTTACATATGGGCAACAGTGCACTAGAGATAATCCTAGGAGGCTAGCTCTCCTTCTTCACTTCACACATACATAAAGGGCAGGGTAAGGGGTTTACTCTCTCATAGGTTAGAGTAACAAGGCAGACTCTATGTGGCATAAAAATACTGCTCAATATGAAAGACACGTAGATTTGTGCTCAGTAGAGTATTTAGTTAACATAATATCTAGTTAATGAAATGCAAAGCATATATTGCTTGTCTCATGTCAGACAAGCAACATTTAACTGTGACAAGAGGAAGATTTTGGAAACAGAACCCCACTAGAGAGTCCCAAGTCCCACCTCTCACCTGAATCCTCTTAGGAGAGCAAGTCCTAAGGAATAATAATTGAGCCACTTTTGGCACAAAACTAAGGCATATCTAATAAATAACAAGTATAGTTCCACCATGCCAATGTCCAGGATGCTGAAACATCAAGTCATTTTAAAGTTGATGATACCAGTATCAAATTTAGGAAACAGAACATTCCCTGGCCAATGGTAAAACCTACTGTTTCTGAAAACACAGACACCTACCTGTGGCACAACATCCTGTAGAAAAGTCACAACGCTTTCCATGTAAGACTGCTCCCTGTAAAGGGGTAAATTGGATAAAATTTACCATGACAGATTAAGGCAAACATGGAAAAGCTCTTTCTATAAGCCCTAAGAAAGTCACTCATAATATTTTTTAAAAGGGAGAAAAAAGACCAACTCACACAACCTGATAAAGTTTCACTGTATGTTATTAAATGCAAATGAGATGTTAACATTTTTAAACATTATCTCTTCTGAAAAGTCATGCTCTCTTAGTTTGATATAGATGACTTCTAACTCATACTTGAAGAGAGATGGCATAAGACTTGGCTAAGGCAGGACCTTCCTCTTGAGTCAGAGTAGAATGCCCCAGTTAGAACAAGAAAAACTGTTGCTGATGCGGTCTTTAGTGACCTTATCTTTAAACTAATTATGAACCTAGTCCCTTATGTGTATATAGAAAAATGAATCTGCATTTTTCCACAGGGAACCTCTGCCATAGATAAGACATGGGAGAATATTAAAATGCACAAGAACACTAAGGTATTTTAAAAGGGAAGTATATGGATATCTGCAAAAGGAGAAAAAAAATCTTTAAAATACCAAATCAAATTCACTCCATAGAGATATGAAAAATACATTTAAGAAAACAGCCCTGGTTGGTGTAGCTCAGTGGACTAAACATGGGCCTGTGAACCAAAGGGTTGCTGGTTCAATTCCCCATCAGGGCACATGCCTGAGTTTTGGGCCAGGTCCCCAGTAGGGGGGGGGGGGGGTTGGGGGGCACTCGAGAGGCAAACACACATTTACATTTCCCTCTTTCTCCTGCCCTTCCCTCTCTCTAAAAATAAATAAATAAAATCTTTTTTTATTACACTTAAGAAAATAATATGAGTTATCCTAAATCCTATTTTTAAAATATACCTTACATACCTACAAAACTAATTAGAGCCTAAAAAAATTTTTTTTTGACTAGGCCTACCTCTCCAAACTCATTTTTCTGCCACTCTCCTAATTTACTCTGCCTCAGTCACATACAACTTCAATTCCTAGATTATATCAAGTTCTTTTAATCAAGACCTCTAAACCAGCTGTCTACCTCAAGTCCTTTCCATACGCTGTCTTCCCTTTCAGACCCTCAAACTAAAGTATTACATCCTCAGAGAAGCCTTCCCTGGTAGCCTTAAGTGATATTCCCCATAGTCATTTCTGTCCCAGCACACTGCAGCTGCACTGACCAGAGCCTGCAACTGTTTTGCTTATGTACTGTTTCCCCCACTAGAATGAATGTAAATAAACTCTATTACAGAAAGAAATCCATCTCTCATATTTACCTTATGCCTCCAGAATCTATAAGCCAGTACTTTAGGCATGGAGTAGATGCTCAAGCAATGTTAAAAAGTACTTAGTAAAGATTTTTTTTAAAAAACCACAAAAATTGGGGATGGGTGGGGTGGGGGAAAGTGGTACCGGGAAAATGGAAACAACTACTTGAACAACAATTAAAAAGAAAAGTAAATTTTCAAAAACCCACAAAAATTATGGATTGTATAACATAAAACAATAAATGTTGAATACCCTTCTTGGCTGTTACCAAGAAGAATTTACTTAACTCCTCTCTACTTTAGTCTCCTCACCTATAAAATGAAGAGTGAAATAGTACCTAACTCATGGCTAAAAACATGCTTACTAACATACTGCCATGGTTCATAGTTAACAAAGACATATAGCCTTAGGAAATGCAGGAGGAAAAAAAAAAAGAAAGTACTGTAGTAAAATATTATATTACACATAAACTTTTGATAGTCTGAGAAGGCAATCTTTATGTAACATGCTAAACTTCCCTAGTGAAATAATAAAAAATGCTATAATTCCCTTATGCATATTTTAAAAAGCAAAAAAGTTTCACCTCTCTAGCCAGGTATTTAGGGTCGTAACTGTCCACCCCAACCTACTTCAAATAAGTTAAGTTTTCTATATTTCATTTATGAAAATACCCTGCCTTACCCACATCTGCTCACTCTATCCCCTTTGCCTAAAACGTACCCTTGATTCTAACTGCCCAAACAGTATTCAGCCTTTGAAATATATCATAAATGTTAGCTTCTCAATGAAACCTTTTTGGATTTAAAATACTAAAACACTCCCACTAAATACTCCAACAAAAACACTCCCTTTAAATTTTCATGCTGTTTTGTTAGCATCTTTTTTATTAATTATCGTGATTTCAAGCACACATATCTTAAAACCACATTAGATAATATGCTTTTAGAAAATATATATGCTTTGTCCAAAAGGCTTAAAATATAGAAATGTACTTTTTATATTGACTTTGAAACTTTCTGACTGAGACATTGGAATGAGATACATTTTACATCACATTCTAGTAAACATACACATACATATGAATATATCTATGTGCTACACAAAACAATACTAACTATATTTTCTATTAGATTCTACTTTCTTTTCTAAATAATGGTCCTAATCCAATAAATTGATTTAATAATCCACTGATTGTTAAAGCAAAAGTATGAAAAAACATTACTCTTTAGGATTTAGCACAGTGCTTTACAAGGTACTCTGTGCTGAACACATCAACTTGACCCTCCAATTATCCCTTTTATTTGGCCTTGGCAACGACATTTATCATCCTGTGAAGCCAAAATCAAGTAGATTCTAGAAAAGTAATCACTGTTCAGAAAGGAAACCTGAAAGTTAGTTACTATTCTGAGTTATCTTTTCTTCAGCTATTAGGTTTATCTGAAATTTGCTCACGTGACAGCCTGGGGGCGAACCACAACTCCACCAGTACAGCGACTGGGTCTTCTGGGGGAATCTGTAGCCATAGCTTCATTCACAAAACCTATTTCCAGAGCAAAAATTAGAAAAAATGGATCAGTATTGCTGGAAGTAGGGAAAAAAGGTTTATGGTTGCTCACTAGCGATCCCTTGTCAAAAATGCCTAAAATGTAGGAAACTTTCCCAGCAATTCCTATTACACCAGAAAAGAGGAAAGGCAGGGGATAAGAAAAATTTATAATTACTGAGATTTTTTTTATTTGAACCAAACCTCAGAACTACAAAACTAGTTAAGGCTCTTGCTGGACCCTTTGATCTACTGTTGGTACAAATTAGAAAAGTAGGAGAACTAGATCATGGTTGGGAAGTCTAGCACAGGAGCGCTTCATAAAAACAAATGTGCTACCTTTGTAAACCAAAATTTTAAAATGTACTGAAATCTTATATTGAGATAGTGAAAATACACATGGTACAATATTTCAAGACCAAATGGAACAGTAGGGTAATACCAATAAGACTGCTGGTGATCTGTAAGAAAGGATGTTGTAACTATGTGATGGATGTTAACTAGACTTAATGCGGTGATCATTTCTCAAAAATATACAAGTATCAAATCATTGTTGTATACCTGAAACTAATATAATGTTATATGTCATATCTTCTTCAAAAAAGACTGCATGATCATACTTAAGGATTTTTAAAATCGATTTTGTTAACCCCCTGCTACTAAAACCTAATCACCAGAGTCTAAGTAATAAACTTATGACATTAGAAGCCCCTTATCCTTTCCTGTCAGATCACTGAATCCTGACCCCTGAATGTCTAATAAGCATGTGATCCATTGGGGAGGTTTTAAGAGCATGAAGTGTACTTGGTTAAGGTTTAAAGGAGGACTGGCAGGAATATTAAATATCTCTTACAGGGCTCAGGAGAGCCCACAGCCTGGAACTAATCTTGTGAGCCCCTAAAACCCTCACTTCTAAGCAGGTACATTCTATCACCTTATTTGACAGCTTCCAAAATGATAAGTCCCATCTGCTACAACCAAAACACCCTCTGCCCCAACTAGCCCAGGAACCCCTTCCTCAATGGGTACCTTCACCTCCAGCCCCTCAGCCCTCCCATTTCTATACCACCCTTTATTTCCGAAAAACAAACAAACAAACAAAAAAACAAAACCCTCCCAAGCACTGTCCTATGAGAGCCCTGTCCAGAGGACGACCCTGGCCAGTCGCTCAGGCCCCACTCTCCTGAAAGACACCAGCAAAGTGCTAACCCCTTAACCTCCAACACGCAGCCACCGCTGCCCCCGGCCGCCCTCTGGCCCCTTGCCCTTGCTTCCTCCCCTCCCCCTCCAATTTCGACAGCTCTCCCTCGCCGAATTCCTGCTAGTCAAGCCCTTTCTCCTCACGCTGCTTGGCCCCGGTCCTCCCCAAGCCTTCCCAAAGCCACAGCCCCGCCAGCCTTCTCACCGGCCGCCCCGCCGGTAAACGCTGTTCTCCAGCTCAAGGCTCACTGTTTGGAGTCTCCCCGAGATTGACAGTTACCACTTCCTACCACGCCTCAGCGGAACTACCATTTTAGCCAATCCCAGAAGCAAACTGACTAAGCCCGGGAACCGCCCTTAGAGGTCAGCTTCGCCAACCAGCAAGTAGAAAAGAGGCGGACCCGCCTCCTGAAATTATCCAATCCGCTGGGGCTCCAGGAAAAACAAAACAGTATGTAAATTTGGACAAAACCAAGGTGTCAGGTTCGGTCGTGATTGCCGGCAGGTGGGGAGGAATTACAGACACGTCTATTTTCCATTGCAGACAGTACCTCCTTGGCTTTGTCAAAAAGCATAACGCTGCATACTCCTGTATTCCACACCTGAGCGTCTCAGGCTGAGAATCCCAGGAGTCCGGGACTGGTCTGTTTACATCGAATTCTCGCGACAGCTGGTTCGAAGCTCAAAGCACGTGGACATGGCAGCTGCCAATCACTTTTAGCTAGCCACTTACCCATTCCTAGCCCGCCTTCTACCCCGCCTTTGTAGATGTGTTTACCTTCCGGGAGCCCAGGCTGCCTGAGGGTGGTGAGCAATCATTTAACCGAGGATGTGCTGATGTGAATGAGGGGTGCGGCGAGTAATCCTGTCAATTTGATGTAGGTTTGTGGACCACGCCTGACTCCTTCTTTCCCTGCTTCTGCCTGTCGTAAGGAAGAGCTCAATATCTAACTGGTGCTGTTTCGTCAGTTACATTTTTGTACAATAAAGATAACATTTATCGATTTATTGAACAAAGGCTCTGAGAAGGGAATGAATTTTGAGGAAAAACGAGAAAAACACTATGTTTTAAGCAAAGTGAACTAAGTTTAAGGTGATGAAAAACTAGTTAGGGGAGGTAAGCAGTGGCCAAATGGACTATGGTCTTGTATAGAATTATAAAGAGCTTCCATTTTATTCTAGGTTGAGAATCTGTTGAAGGACTTTAAGCTAGGAGGTTTCATGATCGTATATTTGCATTTCTAAAAGATCATTGTATGCAGTAAACAGAAAATAAACTTTAGTGAGGGAGGGGATAAGAGTGGACGCAGTGGATCAAGCAGGGAGGCTAGTTTTTCGGTAGACCAAGTGGGAGACCTATCTAAAACTGAGCCCGGAAGTCAAGCAGTAGAGATGAAAATCAGAACATTTTGGAAGAGAGAACTGAAAGAACTTTATAATCCATTGGATGTGGGATGGAGGAAAAAGAGAATCAAGGATGATGCCTGTGTTTCAGGCTTGAGCAACTGAGTGATGGCATTTAAAGACAGGGTGAACACTGGTAAAGTTCCACGTTGTGTTTCTATTTCAGATACTTTTTATTTCTTCAAGTTTGTTGTTTATCAGGAGTGACTAAAATAAAAAAATATCCTTGAATCTCATCATCATGGATATGGCTTTAAGAGAAAACTAGTCAGATGAATATTATTGCTTCACATTTCCAACCAGTTAAGTAGTTGCCATTGGTTTGGGGGTGAATTCCTCTGTCTTGGTTTCATCCTTCATAAATTGTAGAAAGAATATTATGAACCTTATAGGATTTTTATAGGACTAAACAAATTTAATATTCTAACAACCAGTTAGAAATTTATCCAATTTAACGAATTACTAATTAACCAGTGAACTACTTCTAAGTCCTCCAATTATTTTTCTCTACAGAGATGGTGTGATTCTCTCAAGAGCCTTCAAATAGAAAATAAAATTTATGGTAATCTTTTCTGAATGGAAGTAACTTGTGAATGCTTAGTATATATGGCCAGTTCCTGAGCCATTTCAAAGTAATGGGACCTGGGAAAACTTTCAACAGTCTGTTTTTGTGACTGAGCAATCCCAGCTGGGAAACTCATTTTCATTGTAGAAAGTGTGAGTTCAAGCCAGAGTCCTGTGTTCTTCCAGTTGCTACAATGTCCAGTGTATTAAATTACTAACGACTAAAATTGCCTCTCCTAAAGCCCCCAGTGAAGTGTCAGGGCACTATCTGTATGCAAACCAAATTTTAAGGTCACTTTATATTTTATTGTGTTTGTTTTGATAGTATTAGATTCTTTTTTTAGCCTCAAGCAAACCATTGCTCACCCTGGCCACCCAAAACATTGGATAATAATCACATGATTTGGGCCCTGTCCAGATAGTTCAGCTGGCAAGAGAATCCTCCCAGTATACCAAGGTTGTGGTTCAGTCCCTGGTCAAAACACACACAAGAAGCAACCAACAAATGCATAAATAAATGGAACATCGAATCATGTTTCTCACTTTTGCTTCCTTCCTCTCTAAAAACAATAACTTTTAAAAATTTAAAACAGTAACTGCATGATTTAAACAGTGGTGAAATAATCTGACTTCACATAGAATAATGATGAACATTAATATTTTAACTTTCAGCCAAGTAAAAGGAAAAATAACAAGGTTTTTAAAAGGTGGCCACATAATTTATCATTCTACACAGAAAACCTTCTTGAAATGGGACTCTATTAATAAATAATTTTTTTAAGATAAAACAGGACTGTCCCAGGCACATTATCAACTGTGGCTGCCCTTTATCTCTGACACATTAATGTTACTTTGTAGGTGTTATCTGGTTGATTAGTGTATAATTCTCTTGGCTGTTTAGATAAAATGTAAGCTCTTTAAAATGAGGGATTATTTGTTTCTATTTCCCATAATGCTTATTCATTAACAGGAAAAATTACATTTCAGAACCCCAACAATTTATCCTGAAATCTAGAGCTGGTATTTATAATTAAAGATACCAGAAAGTAAAACTATTGGCAAAAAATAATGTGTCGTCAACTGTTTTAGTGATACCCAGGACATATTTTACCTTCCCCATTTAACCCTGAATAAAAATTGCTTTAAAATCTGAAAAATACCATGGCTGGTGTGGCTCAGTGAATTAAGCACTGGACTGCAAACCAAAGGGCAGCCAGTTCAATTCCCAGTCAGGGCACATGCCTGGGTTGTGGATCAGGTCCCTGGTGGGGTGCTGGAGACACACAATAATGTTTCATTCCCTCTTTCTCCTCACGTTCCCCTTTGTCTAAAAATAAATAAATTTTATTTATTTATTTCTCTTGTGAGGCCCTGTAATTGGAATGAGTCCACTTTAAATCCTCCAAGGAGGATCCATTAGAGGGCAAGTCTGGTGCCAGCAGCCGTGGTAATTCCAGCTCCAGTCTAAATAAAATCTTTTTTAAAAAGTTTTTTTAAATATCTGAAAAAACTTATATTGACAGAAGGAGACTTGGCTTTACAGTTGTGAGTACAAGAAACACAAAACATTATTTATTAATTATTGTATTATTTTCCATACAAATAATAAAACCTATTTTTGCCCACCCCTGTATTTAGGGGAAAGATACATTTAAAATGCCTCACTCCATTAGAGCAATCTTCCAAATATCTGGGAGATAATAAAAATAACATTAACATTGTTACCAAAGCAAACCTAGTATACATCTTAAGAAAGCAATACTAAAAACCCTACATTCTTTCTAGATTGTGATGGACTGCCTCCAAGATGACCCATAATGATACATTTTGGTATTCAGCAAGTGGTTTTCTCCTACATTAATCTGATTTAGACTGTGACTAATAAAATATAGCCTAATTCATGTGGTACTTTTGAGGTTAGGTTACAAAAGACATTGTGTTTTCTGCTTTGCTGTTTCTGATATCACTTGCCCTGGGGAAAAGTTAATGGACGGATGGTGAGAAGCCCTACGGAGGGGCACACAGGGCTAGGAAACAAGGCCTCCTACCAACAGATATGTGTTGTGGGAAGCAGACCCACCAGCACCTATAAAGCCGTCAGATGACTGCAAACACACGGAACTGTAACCTAGCAAAGTATTCCCAGATTCCTAACACTCAGAAACTGGAAATGGCCGTTTTTTTAAGCTGCTAAATTTTTAGCCATTTCTATACAGTACTATATGACTAATACATATTTTAATCTTTGAGGCATAAAAGAAATAGGTCAAGAATTACCTGTTCTGCAAAATATTGAAAAGCACCCTGGCCAGGTAGCTAGCTCAGTTAGAGCACTGACCCAATATGCCAAGGTTGTGGGTTTGATCTCCAGTCTGGATACATATAAGAAGCAACCAATGAATGCATCAATAAGTGGAATAACAAATCCATGTTTCTAAATAAAAATTTAAAAAATATATATATATATTGAAAAGAATCAGTGTGTGGATATCACATTTTGATATAAAATACACATTTTTTTTCCAGGCTCCTGGCTAGAGCTCCTAAAACCTTTGTCATTTGCCCTGGCTGGTGTGGCTCAGTGGATGGAGCACCAGCCTGTGAACCAAAAGGTTTCCAGTTTGGTTCCCAGTCAGGACACATGCCTGGGTTGCAGGCCAGGTCCCGGGTTGGGGATGTGAGAGAAGCAACCCACTGATGTTTCTCTCACACATGGGTTTCTCTCCCTCTCTTTCTCCCTCCCTTCCTCTCTCTCTAAAAGTAAATAAATAAAATCTTTAAAAGAGAAAAACCTTTGTCATTTCCTAGGTAACTACAGGTGTTAGAGGCATCTTTTGCCTTTGGTTACTGACCTCTTCCCCCCATCCCGTCCCTCAGAAAGCAGTTTTTACTTTCCCAAGAGAGGGCAAGTGCTGGGTGCAGAGATATGTCATTGACCCCTTTCTGACACAGAGCTTCTAAATCCCTTGGAATTTACTGATAGGAGCATCTTTTGTCCTTATGAGACCATACTGTTAGTGGGCTCCAGGACGGTTTCAGGATGGGAAAGCTGGACAGCAGAATTTTCAGCCTCACCAGACCAATTCCTCCTGGGAGAGAAAGAGGCTGGAAACTGAATTAATAATTGACTATGGTTACATGGTGGAGCCTCCAGAAAAATACCTTAACTATGGGGTTCGCAGAGCTTTCAGGCTGGTGAACACTTACATGCCAGGTGGGTGGTGCACCCCAAACCCATGGGACTAGAACCTCCTGTTCTTGGGACCCTTCTGAACCTCACCTGATGCATCTCTTCATCTGTATCCTTTATTATAT